ACATCGATTTATTTGCGTCTCTTTACACAACCGTACTCCAGAAAGAGTACTATATTAAGAATTTGTCATGCAAATTCCCTCTACACTAAGGTGGAAGGTTTCATCTGCTGAGTTCCAAAAATAGAAAAAAAAACACTAGTCTGTTTATTTCCATCCTTAGCAGCATGTACCATGCTACGTCAATGGAAGCACTGTGATAGGAAAGAATTTGGAGTATGTTGGAGAGGTCCAGCTCGCAGTCTTTCTGGCAAATCGGAAGGAAGAATTTGGTCACCAGGCTTCACGGGTTTTAAAACCCCAGCTCAGCAGAACTAGTTCCTGGAAACCACAATCACACTCACCTGATCAACTTCACTTGCATAAGAGCGGCTGCCACATGGGGACAAGAGAGGGAAGCAAAATCTTTGCACAGGCCTGTTTAAAAAAAAAAAAAAAAAAAAAAATCACAAAACCAGCAGAATGGTCAGGCATGGAATATTTTGTCCGTACCCTGGTGCTGCAGCATATCCATGAAAAGGAATGTAGTGTGGCCTAAATGCATGATGTAGACTGTCATTTGAGAAGACAGAATCCAAGTCTACAGTTCTCCTTAGCCTGAGCCTGTGTGTTTCCTACAGTATGAAACATTTGATTCTCAAAAGACCTTGATGCTATTTCCAGCTGCAGAAGCTGTCTGGATATTACCAAGAATTCTAAAATAGCTCCTGATCTGGGGCACAGAGCTGATTCCACCCACAAAAGGGACAACACAGTGTTTCCATTCCCAACAGCAACACCGCTCTCACAAGTTGCACAAAGCTGGGGTAGGGGAGTTGTTTATCTGTCTGATGAAAGTATTCTGCTGTGGCATTGTGTCCGACACCCACCCTAGGGTTGAACTTGCTTGGATCTATCTCACTGCTCCTACACACAGCTCTACCCTTCTGTCATCTCAGACGACACTTCTTCCTCTTCAGTGTCTACCCATTAGATACTCTTAGAATTTACATCCCCTCTTTGCAACTGTTTAAGCTAAGAGACACCACATCTTTGAGCAATACCTGCCATGCAGATCTGAAGCTCCTCAGCATAGAATGTCTGACTCCCAGGTAGATAAGCCATGTTCACAAAGGCAGACCAGAGCAAAGCAACAGTGCCTTCTAGAGAGTGAGATTCTATTTAGAAAAGCTATTGGTATCAGGAGCATCACACTGTCTTAGGTCTTGCCATCACTCATCAAAATTGGGCCTAGGCAACACACCAGAGTGACCCTAGCCTCCATCCTTGCCAACCACATCTCCAGACTATGTCAGCTTTTTCATTTTTGCCCTAAGCACTGGCATTGCCCTGCCAGAGCCTTCTGGCCTTCTGCTAGACTTGATGTACTTCATCTACCCTCTGGCCCCTGTAACAACATCTATCCTTCAGCAGACCTTATCTTCCAGGCCGCTCTTCTGTATTCTAAATGAATTTGCATAATCATTCACAATTATCTCCTGCTCAGACATCACAGGGGCTCCCAGGGTTGCCTGTGCTACACTGAACAGCAAGATGCAGACACTCTGGCCTCTGAGCTGCACCTTGGGAAAATAAGGCTAGAAAAAGGGTCTGTTAGGGCAGAAGCTTGGAACCACATGGGAAGGGACCTGATGTATATTTAGGCAACAGTGTCCGCTCACCTTCCTGCAACAGTTTAGCTCTTTTTCCAACTTTCAGTGTCAGGAGCCCAATCAGCTCTTGAAATAGCAACAGCCAATTTAATTGCTGCAAAGGTCAGTCCCCAGGCAAAGTGTGTGTTAACATCACTAACCTGCAATCCTGGCTTGGAACATTTATCTCAACAATAAGCTTCTTGGTGTGTCTCAAAGTGCTCAGAAATGTTCATAACATTTCTTTTAGTTGCATGAACTTGATTTTTATTTTTCAGCGCCATGTCTGGTCCTGTTATTTCACTGCACAGCACTGCTTTGCTGCTGTTATTCACAATAACCTGTAGAGAATAATTACTTGACATTTTGTTTACCTTGACCTGAAGGCAAGGGCATAAAAAAAATGCCGGCTGCTGATCAGCAGGAATGTCATCAGAGGAAACAGCTACGATGCGCATGGGATGTTAGCCCACACACAGTACACTAATGTACCATGAGCCATTTTTGTCATTCTGCACGACTGAATTCTAGAGACCACAACTGAGACTTTTAAAATGCACAGATGGTCCTCAAATTCAATCTGTGTTCGTAACCATGCATTCGCTTTTGTTCAGTTAAACCAAAAAAGGCAGTCCTCAGCTTAAGGAGTCAAGTATATAAATGCTACCTCAATGCATTAAGATACCGGTATAGTGACAACACTGCCTTTCAGATAAACAGCTGGATTTCCATTTCAGGTTTAGCAGCTTGTGGATACTTCAAAAAATGCAACACATTTTTGCCCTGAATACAAGACACACAAAGCCCAAATACACAGTGAGCAAAACAAAAGAAGAAGAGGAAGAAAAAAAGAATATGCTGAAAATTGTTTTAGCACATTAATAAAGCTTTAATTTGAATTTTTAAGGCCACAGCAGATTCCTGCCAGTGCAGCTTTGGTGTGTGTGAAGTAAATAGGAGATAAAAGGCCTATGTCTGTTTGCACAAGAAATCTCTAACAGCTTAGCTATCTGGTCTCTACAACTCCCTGTTACAGGAGCCATCCTTGATGGTGATGGTGCTGGATACTGATATCAACAGCAGAAGAACACTAGAGGTGACCGTTCTTGCTTAGCAGGCCATGAACCACTTTTAAATGGTTTATCTACAATTAGCAGTATGCACACCATTGTTTGGAAACCCTGCTCTAAAGCAAAGCCAGTGAAAGCACTCAATTTGCTCTGAATTTGGACTAGTAGGGTTCCCACCATATATCAACAGGAAAAGTATTTTTTTCAGAGCTAGAAATTAGACAGGCAATTTTCTGTTCATGTTCAGAAAAAAACAGCTTCATTACTCAGCCCACCACCATTTCTCACCAAGACCCTCCTTCTCAACTTTCTCTCTCATTTAATGTGATTCACTGCCTCTTTAATGAAGTCATAGAAACATATTAAAGTTACTTGCACTGCAGCAAGGCCTACTTGCTGATATTCGGGAATAAATCCTTGGTTGACACTGAATTAATACTTTATTCAACCCCCTTTTGACTGCAGATAATTGTCCAGGTGTAAAAAAAGCCATGTTGCCAACCCCTCCTTGCATATAGAGTCCATCTCATCTGTGCTCAGCTCAATGACTGAGCACTGGCACAGGCTGCCCGGGCAGGTTGGGGTCTCCATCCTTGGTGATATTCAAAAGCCGTCTAGGCACAGTCCTGGGCAACCAGCTCTAGGAGGCCCTACTTGAACAGGGGGGTTGGACCAGATAACCTCCAGAGGTCCCTTCCAACCTCAACCATCTTGTGATTCTGTAAATAAACTGTGCCACTGAAATCAAAGGAGCCCTCGATGTGTGCTTTACTCAAGATGTCACTCCTTCTCCACTAGGCTACTTACCTGAAGTCACTTCTTGGGTCCTTGAAATTCAGGGCTTTCACAGAGAAGCTCAGGAGAGGCCGGGACAGCTTGGTGGCCAACATACTTTCAATTAACACACTCTACCAACAGCAAGCTTGTTCTCCTTTAGCTCTGCAATACAAGATAGCACCTCTGTTTTAGTTGCTCAATTATTTTGTAAGACATGCTGACTCCATGTATTTCAACAAGAAAATAAAGTCCAAAAGAACTAATTTTTCCCTCTTGCAGTCCCTCACACTGAGATAAACGGCTCAACCTTCGACCACCTCAAGATGTTTTTAAATAAGGAAAAAGATTATAAGTAAACTGACAAGCAGGGAGGCATTTAAAGAAAACGTCAATTTCGCCTTCGTTAGTGCATCTTTAACTGTATTCTCTGAAACAGCTAAAAATTAAGGTACTTACATGTAACAGATTATTTCAAATGAGCTATATGAAATAATTTTAAACTAAAATATAATTTTAAGTCACGGGTAATGTTATGTTTACGTGATCCCAAAGCAATCCTTGGGCTTTACAGATAGTACAGCCATGCAGTTACAAATACATTTATTTGTAATTAAGTAGAAGGTGATGCTGAACTATGCATAGGGAATCACTATTAAACTCACTATGGAGTGAAAACAGCTCAAGAACAAGAGATAAGTACAGAAAGTTAATTTCAAATATATTTATCTTGGATAAAGCTGATCCAGCACACAAAAAACATCTGCCCGGATTAATGCACTGCCTCCTGTAATAAAGCAGAAAAACGGTATCTAATTGCTAGGCCTTATTTGCATCTCTGGCGAAGGCTGGGCTGCTGCAGCGGCAGCCTCAGGGCCTGCTGGGAGACAGGCCTCGCCTAAAAACCGCTGAAATCGCCACAAAAAGAACAGTGGTGGGGCGCCAGGCTCGGAAGGGGGAGGTCTAGGCTCAGCAGAACTAGCTGGCTCCGCTAATTCTCAGAAAGTCCGGGGGTTTAACCAAATTCGAGAGCTCGGTTGCCGCCCACGCAATCTTTTCGTGAGGAATTCTGTCAGGAGGGGGCGAGAGGCCGGGCCGGCCCCACGCGGGAGCGCGGGCTCCCGGCGCTCGCCAAGGGCGCGCGAGCGCGCGGCGGCCCGGCGCCCGTGGGAGCGGAGCGGCGTGGGGCGGGCTGCAGGTGGGGGCGGGATGCCAACGTCCCCCGCTTCCCGCCGCAGCCCGCCCCGCCCGGATCGCCCCCTCCCCGCGGGCGGGCAAGGTCACCGGGCGGCCCGGCAGCCAGCGCTCCGAGCCAGCCACGGCCGCGGCCGCGGCCCCGCCCGCCCCCCCCCCCCCCGCGGCGGCAGAAGCGGGCCACCCGCACGTTACCTGGAGCCGGCGGGCCTGCCGGGCGCTGCTGCCGTTTGAATGAGGCTGGGCCCGTGCCCCGGCTGCCGGGGCGCGGCGGGGGGCGGGCCGGGGGAAGGGCCGGGGCGGGTGCGGGCGGCGGCGGCGATAGGCTGCGGTCATGCGGGGCGCCGCGCTGCCGCTGCTGCTGCTGCTGAGCGCCGCGCTGCTGCTGGCGGGCGGCGGGCGGCGCCTGGCCCGCCGCCTCCTCTTCCTCCTGCCGCGGCGGGCCCGCCGCGCCCTGCCCGTGAGTACTGCGGCCAGGGGCTCCGGCCGCCTCGGGGGCTCGCCGCCCTTGGGGGCCAAAATGGCGCCGCGCCCTCAGGCCCGCCTCCGCCGCTGCTGCCGTTTAACCGTCGCGCCGGGGCCCGGGCGGGGGCCGAACCGGTGAGCGGGGACCGGCCGGGCTGCGGCCACCGCCACACCCCGCGCAGTCCCACGCGGTTCGGGGAGCAGCAGGCGCGGGGATTTTCTTCCAGCGCTCTAAATCTGGCAACGAGCGTAAGGGTGGAAGAACAGTCCTGCGCATCGAACAGACTTGCATCACCACCAGTCCCTTCTACATGTTTGTTTGTTATTTTGTTTGTTTTTTTTTTTTTTTTTTTTTTTGTTTTGTTTTGTTTTTTTTTTTTTTAACACAAAGGGTCTGGAGGTTTTTTCACTAAACTGGAATTAACTTGCTTCTTGTTTGTGCTTCACACACCCTTTCTGTAGGCACCAGGAAGAACCTGCAAGTGAATGTGGTTTTGCTCCAGGGCCTCAAGCTCAGTCCTGACCCGCTGAAAGGGACAGAAAACAGCTTTGACCCATTTGCACCCTCCCACTTTGCTCTTCTTCCATCTGCTCTGCTCCTTTGACATCTCTCATCCCTCTCCCACCTGAGGACGTCTTCCCTTCAATGATTTTTTTCAGTTCCCTTTCCTGTGATTGAAAACGTTGACTTCCTGACTCTGGAAAAAAAGGAACAAGAAAAGCTTACTCTATAATTGCTCTCATCTTCACATTAATGTTTGATAAGAAACAGGTGGTCAGGGGAGGGCATAAAAGGGAACAGGATCCAGAAAACTAGTGATACAGTAGAAGGTAAAGTCTGGGCAAGTGTGGTGGGTTCCCACATTATCTAGAGACACTCTCACTGACAAAGCAGCTCTCCTTTCCTTGATCTCTTTTGCAATTAATGTGTATAACTTCAGTAGGTCAGCTGTATGAGTGAAATAAATTCTACCATTTAACAAAGCGATCCTATCCCAGCAGGAAAAGCTAGTGAGGTATGTGCGCCTGAGCTGGCTGCAGGTTAGAATCAGGCTGCCTTGCTAGAGCTGCTTGAACTGTGCGGAACATGTATTAGTGCTGTGGATCACACAGCAAGGATACAGACCGTGTTACCCTGCCCAGATGCCACAACAGCACCTCTAGTACAAGAAATTCCTCTGTTCTTTTAGCAGGTCTCAGGTGCCCTGGCAGCACTGTACATGAGTGCTGTCTCCTGTGCAGGATTTCCTGAGCACTGTGTGACTCAAAAGTGTGAGGCACCTGAAGTTCCTCAAAATGCTTTTTAAGGTCACTGTAATGCCTGCTAGAGAGGCGATGACCGTCTCAGCACTGTCAAACTGTAAGCGGCAGACTGACCTTACCGAACTCGATAAACAAGGCCAATTACACCTCATTTTGAGACTTTCAGAAGATACGGATGATCAAGCTTTTCTGTGCTTGTGGGTTTTTTTGGGATAGGATCTTTTTGCCTGGGAGTGGGGTCGCTGCCTGCTCTTATCCCTGGGAGTTCTGTCCATCAGGCATGGCACAAAAACAGAGGCTGCTACAGATGGAAGATTAAGTACATCTCTTGGGTTATACTAGATTGTTAGCACTGCTGGTGCCTCAGTCTGTTATGAACCATGCTGCTGTAGTCACATGTTTTATTAGCAGCAATTAGGCTAATGGCAAATAATTAACAAATAATCCCAGTCACATTTTCCTACTGTGAGTTGTTCCTCACTTTTCTCCCTATTATAGACAGCTGAGGGAATTTTTAAACTTTCTTCTTTCTGTCTAGATTTTGGTAGTGTTGTTTGTTTTTTCTTTAACCAGAGAAAGCAAACCAGCTGCTGAGAGCTAAAACTAGATGCACACAGGAACACAGCCCAGCCATTTGCTTTTATTTCCTCCAGCTGAGCCCTGTCCTTATCAGACTAGCTGATGGAGGAGCCAATGATGTTTGGGGATTGAGCATCTTCTCTGTTTGCCTGTCCTGGATTCTGGAATTGATCACAACTCCTTATTTACTCTGTGGTGCCTGCTTTTTGAGGAAGTTCTTTGTCTTCAGGATTCAAAAGCAAAGGGTCTAGGGAGGTGAGGCAGAGAAAAAAGTCAAAGCCTTTCTTTTGCATGGGCTAGCTTGCTGAATTAATGTGGAAGATAACTGGCACATTCTGTGATCTGGTTCTTACTCGATCTTCATCTCTCTTGGAGTTGTGTCACGGTAAATTAAATTGAGACTGAGCACTATATGTTTAATTTTCAGTTATCTTTTGGCTTTTAGCTGTAGCTACTTTTATAGCTTTAGTATAACTAGCCTGTAGCTGGGTGCTCTTTGAGTATAGGAATGAGTGTTAATGTGAGTATGATAAAGGCAGGATAGACTTCTGATCAGTTCTCATTTCAAGTTCAAATCATGACTCTCCTTTGAAAACAGTAACTTCACATGAGTTACAGGACAGGGTGTAGCTTATTTGCATATTGCTTCTGCTTAGGCTCATCTTGAGTTTCTGCAGTAATGCTCTGATCGCTATCACCCTGCAATTATTCTTTATTGCCACTTCAGTACCACACATGTCAGCAAAACAAGATCAGAGAGTACTGGTGATTGCCCCATTTTTGTCTGAAAAAGTGGCTGGACAAGCTGGTGCAATTAATGTATAAGGAGTATAAAACACAAATGTTCGTATTCTAGCTGTTGTTAATGCAGGAACAAGGAATATTAGTTGCAGCTATCTCCACAGAGACGTATGTGATCTCACTTCCTTATTGTATGCTCTAGATCTTTATTACTATATCATGTTATTGCCTCACGGATATGGTTTCAGTTTGGAGCAGTATGCAGCACTGCAGCTGAGTGCCTCCTAGTTGGGTTAAACATTAGGAGGGAGTTCATTCCTCCACAGCTGCGGTGAGGAGACCAGGGGTGAGATGGCTTTCAAGCAAAGAAAGAGGACGGATGGGCAGTGTTTTGCTTCAGGCTTCTCTTCAAGATTTGGGATTCTGTTTTCAGAGCTATCACAAGCCTGTTGTGTCATATCAGAGTATGAGATCTTCTCTCTCAATTTATCTGTCAGTCAAAAGATATTAATAATGTAGGAGAGAACTGTAGGATTTGATAAGTTGTTCTAGTTAAGACTGCAGTGTTTCAGAAGGAAACCCTAACCTGTAGTCACATTCCTGCATGCTAAAATACAGCATGGAAAGTACCGTATAGAGTGGGAGGAAGTAGGGAACAGAGTAGAGTCACTCTGCAGTTAAAAGGGCTGCTGTAAACTTCAAGCAGGTGATGCACCATCATTTGGATGTTTTCTATGCTGCTCGTGCATATAATGCCTATGAGCTGGTAGATCACTAACTTATTTTGAAATGCTTCTATTCTGCTTTGGCCATTGATACTTGAAAGAGTTGCTGTTCTAGCTTGGGTGTCAAGGAAACACAAATTGTTACAGACCAGCAAATTAATGCATTTAGGGTTTCACAATAGTCAGGAGGTGGTTATGTTTCTACACAGGAATCTTGTCACCTCATTTATACTGGTTGAACCAGCAAAAACTGCTGAAATCGCTGAGTTTAGACTGTGGTCGGGTTAGTGTACAGACAGGTACATGGCCACTGTAACTTGCAGCTGGAATTGTACCTCCTAAACACTGGCTGGCCCTGGCTGCAGGGCTGCAAGCTGATGCGTCGCTGGGTGTTGGTCGTGCCTGCAGGATTGCAATATCTGATAATATCATTTTACTGTTTTTCCCTACACAGGCTGAAGGGAAGGCGGTGCTAATAACGGGCTGTGACAAAGGTTTTGGACATGCCTTGGCAAAACAGCTTCACGCGAAGGGATTTACTGTTTTTGCTGGATGCTTGCTTATGGTGAGTAGTAGTATTGATCAAAATTCTTCTCTGATTGGAGAAAAATGCTTCAATGCATCTTCATCTGCAGCCTCTGTTAACCCTAGTCCAAGGCCTGAGGAAAGTGCAGTGTGCAGGGATCGTTACATCTTCCATTGCTTCATCTGCCGGTTGTATCTTGTCACTTCTGTAATTCTGACCTCTTTAGGGCAGGGACTCTGTCAACTGCATGCCTCTAAAGTAGCTTGCACAGTAGGGCACTCTTCACTGCTGGAAGCCTCTCGGCAATACCACAACACGCTCAATAAATCTGATAGTCCAAGATTGCTATGGCATTATGGCTTTATGTCTTCCCTGGCATCTTTTTTGCTGTCTTTAATTCTGTCACCTTCCTTTGGGGATACTCTCCTCAAACTTATTTCCAAGCCATCTCTCCTGCCTTGTTCAGGTTCTGTTTTCAAAGTGTCTTCTAACTGTGCTTCTACAGCTTCCGTAGAAGCTATTCAGTTTCTGAATAGCTGAATAAACAAATTTACCATACCTCTCTGATATCTGTAGGTCTCACCCCTGTCACCTGTGTTTGGCAGATGGCATCACTTGTTGTAAGAGATCAGTTTAGGCACACTGAGTCAGAAGGGGTTGGAGACCCATCATTCCAGTCCCTGCTCTTGCAGGTAACTGTGTTGTGTAATCCTCTTTATAAACTGGGCCAGCTCTACTTCCATTGCAGCTATGCTTTTTTGCTGTTTTGATAGTCAAAACTCATGTAATTTCCGACCTGAATTGTTCAAAATTAGTTCATACCCACTTGTTTCTCTGTTTGAAGATGGCCATTTCAGCACAGGTGCTCAGGGAGTGATGACCACAGGTTCTTGGAGGGTGAGAACAAACAAAAAAAGGTGGCCCTTGTTGCCTCTGTGATCTCAGCAGAGGTTACGTTCTTCCACCACACCAGAAGGGAAAGCTATTATCAGCTGACATATTGTGTAATTTGAGAGCAAGAGAGTCCTGTTGGAAAATTGCCACTATTTGGAAATTTCCATGTGGAGGCTTTGTAAATCCTTCAGTAATCATGTCATACGCTGCTTTGGGATGCCTGTCTCTCTGCAAGTCCAGCTCTCACTTTGCAGAGCAGCTGTGTAGGGAACAGAAGGGAGAGGGGAGATAGGGTAGTCTGAGGGGGCTGTTCAGAAGGCAGCAACGCTAGTGCGGAGCAGAGGGAGCCAGGCTCCTTTTGAAGCCACGTAAAGAAACTAAATGCTCCCAAATTGAGTCCTGCTTGTGTGTTTTACTGATTAAAAAACAAAACAAAACAAAACAAAGCTGCTAAATACAGATTGTTACCTGCCCCAGAATGTTCAGGCAGCTCTCAGCATCACCTCTGATCTGGCCTGGCAACTTCTTACTTGGAGCCAAAATTTTTGTGGTTCTGTACTTGTATTCTGTGTGGAAGTGGAAAATGTATCAGCAATCGTTGATCTGCAGGTCACTTTCAGCAGATTAACTGAGCGCTTGACCCAAAAGGAGTAGAGAGTGGGCGAATGTAATTTTTCTTGTTCTGTGTGTTAATAAATTTTCAGGAGACCTGGACTCAGAGACCTAGGATTTCACTTGTAGTTCCCCACCTCAGGTTGTTTGTGTTACCTTCTCTACTGTTGGGTGCATTTGAAGGACAGGGTCTGGTGGTAACAGAGTTATCTGGATAGCTGTTGCAAAAATATTACAGCCAAATGCTTTCTATGATTCTTGGAACATCCAACATCCTCATGGAACAGCCTTGTGTTTCAGATGGTTCACAGAGATAATAGCTTGAGAATTCAAAATTTGATGAGCAGGAGCTTACTGAAAACCTAATGGTAGAGTGCATGTGGGCTGAAAATGGTTATAAATCTAGATCTGACTGCTCTGAGAAAAGTAGGCATATAGTGACTACGGAAAATGATGATGGATCCAAAAGAAGCAGGAAACCAGTGAAGGCAGTGAGCTGTTAGGTCAGATCACTTGTGAAGAGCAAGGTATGAGCATATGAGTGATTGCTGCTCAGTGAAGCAGCGCACACGCAGTGTGGCTAAGGGTGCAGTGACCCTATAGTAACTGGCAGTGTGCATGTAACTGTTCTCGATCAATGCAAGGAAACTTAGCCTGTCACAAGAGAAATGTGGGCTGCTCTGAGTTCACTGCAGGGTCAGAGCAGGTATGGGGACAGTTGTGTTAAAGCAAATGCTGGGTTATTAGTTCACACATAGTTACCCCATCATCACTTACTTGCATGCTTTTATATGGAGAATTAAGGGATCCCTGATGTACTAACAACCACAGAAAGCTCTTGCATTAAATACAAGATGATACACCGTCAGGTGCATCAGGAGCTTTTTAATGATCAGGTAGTCAAAAATAAAGTTACAGGAATAATAAGAACACAGCAAGCAAACTGGGATAGAATTGGAAAGGATCAAGTGCAAAAGGGATTTTTTTTTTTTCACAAGGATAAGTAAGTCCACAGAGAAAGTTTCTGTTAGTATATTAGGATTAAGATGGAAAAACACACAGAAATCAATTATAAAATAACCTGAAAAGTAGCAAGTACAGAAGAAGTCAAAATAATCGTTGTCTTATTTTCTTTGATCTTACTGAAAAAAAAGGATAAATTGTTTTCAAATGCCTACTGCCAGCAGTTTTCATGAGGACTGCAGGCAAGAAAAGGTGAAGAGCAGGGAATGTTTATATAACTCGATGTGGTTCAAGTTCACCACGCCTGACAAAATGTACTGAAGAGCATTTAAAGGATGAGCCATTGTGATTTCTGCCCCATGGGTGGTATTTTCAGGAGCACCTGAAGACCAGGGGATTTCCAGTAGGCTGGAAGAGGGCGGATATTGTACTTCCCTTCCCAAAGGAGACAAACCTCTGGAACAGGCAGCTCACCTTCGGTGTGCTAGATGAAATCACAACACACTGATACGTCATTTTTACAAATGTCTAGATCATTGTGGGATACATACTGTCTGTATATGTTTACTGGGAACAGACTGTGCGGTGTCAGTCTAATCTCATTCTGGCTAAGCAGCAGAGTGGTTGAAGGGGAAGCAATAACTGTATTCTGAATAAGGGTTTTGACACAGTCCCTCATGATAGTCTCATGAGCAAATTTATGCACTAAGCCTGTGACTGCTGTTCAGTCCCTGAACTTGGAAGTGTCCCTTGGAATAGAGAGTTCGCTTGGGAAGAAATGTGCATGGTGCCAAGCAGGGAAGATTGCTGGCCCTTTGGGTAATAGGGTTCAAAATGTTCCTGATGGAGCGGATGGAGTCTGAAATCAACTAGGTGGCATCCAGTAATTACAAGAGCAAGGTGTTCTGCCCAGGAAGCGCAGGAAGGGAGCGGGTGGATAGGCAGCAGCAGGCAGGGGTGGAACTGGCGCAGGCGGAGCAAACCCTCCAGATGCACTGGTATTCAGCATTGTGTTCATGGCTTCCTGATGACCACTGACATCTCACTGCGGGTGCCCAAGTCCTTGCCAGGACCTGATCCTGAATCCCAGGAGCTTCCCTGGGAAAAGCCACAGCTCGATCCATTACAGGAGGGCTCTCTGCTGATGAACCCCTGTGTGCTCTGCCTGTCCCTCAGCACCAGCTGCACTGGGATCCTCCAAACCAGGGCAGGGGAGAGGAGTGAGTGAAGGGAAGGGGAGGCAGCTGAAAGCTGGAGCAAGGCTCCTCTTCGGGGTGGAGCAGGTTTGTGTGGCTGTCAGGCTCCCTGCCCTGGAGCAGCCCCTGCTAGGTGGAGGGTGGGGTGGGCAGGCAGAGCTGGGCAGGGCTGCGAGGGCAGGATAACTGGGGGAAATGAGATAGCGGGGGAGGAAACGGCAAAGTCCTGCTGAAGGCCTCTCTGGAGAATACTTGTGCAGCAGGTGGGCTGGAGCAGAGCTGCTTTCAACTCTGGTGGAACTGGGAAGGGGAAGCTGAGAGATTTCTCCAAGAGGACAAAAGTCAGACCAAAACCAAAGTGGCAGCAAAGGGAGGGGGAGAGAGGTTTTGCAGGAGCAGTTGGGCTGTTGCTGTCAAGACCCTGCTTGACTCACACTGCTGATGCCACAGAGGCCATCCCAGGGTGGACAGCCTGGCTGCTCCCACAGGAACTGCTCCAGGTATTTTCCCAGCCAGCAAATCTACCATTAATAAAACTCACATGGTACTTCCTCCTTATATCTGAACAGGAAATGTGCTTACAGCCCCTGAAGACTACAGAACATAAGATGTTCACTACTTTCCATAAAAATACATGGCTGCTTCATTTGTGGAAAGGTTTTCTGGGCATAAGAGTTAAGCAATTTGTTTTACAGTTGTGTAGTGGCTGCAGTGGTGTCTGCAACTTCAAAAAATGGTTCCAATTGATACTGCATGTTGAAGTCAGTCTTCCAAAATTAATACGTTTTGTCAACAATGAATAAATTGTAGCTGGGAAGGTAACTTTGCAGATTGAGTTTCATTGGTGGTAGGGGAAAATTCATTTCAGGATGAATAATACAAACCATTTATACTGGATTTTTATGTTGCTGGTCTGTGACTTTCTCAAAAAAAAGATGGAAATATGTATTGTTTATAAAGATTACGAAATTAAAAAACATGTAGGGAAAGGTGTTTTTAGTGATTTGAAATGACAACTGGTACTTGAGTACAGATATAGCAAAGTTTTTGTTTCTATATAGATTCAATAAATCTCTCTATTTACAAGCTGAATTAGCTCCACTTTATTCACTGTTAAGTAGCTGAAAGTTGCTTTATATAACCAGGTGAGATGCAAGAGCATCTTCCAGAGATATAGTGAGGCATTATACATAACTCTCCCATTTCAAAGGGAATATAATATTTTGGTGACTGTTGCTAACTACTTGTAATGGCACTTTTAGAGATTCTGTTGTGGCTAGGTAAGAAGGCTAGACACAGCATGTCACCATGTCTGAGGTACATTATAAAAGCTTCAGGTCTTTGATGTGTTTGTGATACCTAGAAATAAGTCAGCTGTGAAATGATATGCAGCCATGGGGCCAGCAACTCCTTCCTACTATCATTGTAATGCCAGTGTAACTATATATTGATTTTTAAGAAAGCTGCCCTGTTTTGTTCAAGGCTGTGATAGACATTTCAGCTCTTTTCCTTCGTTACACGTCATTGTTCATTGGTCTGAAGGTGGAGGTGAGTTGTTGTATACTGTATTCATTAAATAGCCTGAGATATGTATAGAAAAACTAAGCAGTTACATGGTTTTTACATCAGCCTGGCTGCAGAGGCAGCTGAGCAGGTGACTGTGGGAGGGTTGCTCACCTTGTTTGCCTTTGTGCTGTGGGAGTTGGTATCAAGTGCTAAAGGAAGAGTGGCAGCCAGGCATGGTGACTCACCAATTCATAACTTCTTCCTCCCTAATGAGGCAGAGCCTGTGATTCAGGAAGTAGTTTGGTGAATTAAATCTTGAGCCTGCCGTGGAACTGCATGGCTAATTTGTGCTCTTCTCACTTTTATTTGTTATATACCACCTGAGCAGGTCTGCAAGGCTTGGGCAGCAATCCTGTCTGGAAGTGACCAGGTAAATTTGGAATTCAAATTGGTTTTATGTTTGACTAAACAAAAAAACCAACCACAGTAGTAACAGAATCTCTAATGATAGCAGGAGGGGTAAAAAAATAAGAAAAGAAAGGAAAAAGGTAGATAGGGAAGGAGATTATTACCTATAGTGTGAAAAACAAAAAATTGTTCTTGCTTCCTCGGCCAGAATCTTCCTTTCATGCCTCATGTCTGTAATATTGTTGTCGTGTGGCAGATTTCTGCTGTGCATGTATTCCTGTACATCCTGTTCTGCTGTGTAGTAAGAGTAAAATATTATTATACAGCTTCAGCTGTAAATGTTTCCTGTTGTATCCTGTAGCGTCAGACTGTTTGCTGCTGGGCGTGCCAAAGGTGTCCCTGCTGTCTTGTTTTCAAAGTGTCCTGACAATACTATTTCATTAGAAGCCAGGCAGTATTTTGGGATGACATGAGTACAGTGCCTAATTAGCCTTTTGCTTTTAAGCCTAGAAAATCTGACTGATTTCTGTACAAGTGTTTGCTATGTTACCTGCAGAGCATGGAGACTGAGGCAGTGGAGAGTCATCCACAGTTACCTGAGGCTGGCACAGTATTTCAGTGTTACAGATGTGAAACCCTTCATGCAAGGAGCTAACGCCAGGCACTTTGTGGCCCTTCAGAGCATTGGGTCACTGCTGCAGAAATAGGAGCAGTGCTGGAGGGAATAGGAAGATGTCTGCAGGTTGCACACTGGTTCCTACAGCTTGTGTGCTTATTTGTGCACCAGGTTTACACCTTTGTGCAATTTCAATAGCTTCTATTTCCTGTCCACGTGAACATGCCTGGCCCCAGGCTGCATTACTGTTCCTTGTCTGTCTTAGTGGGACATATTTCTTTTCTGCTGAACAGGATGAGAATGGAGACGGAGCCAGGGAGCTGAAGAACATGAAGTCAGATCGCATGAAAGTGCTACAGATGGATGTGTGCAATGACCAGGAGGTGGCTCAGGCCGTGGATTTTGTGAAGAGGACCCTGAAGGAGCCAGAGGAAGGTATATGGGGATCTTCATATTTCCAGCACAGCTGGCTCTTTGCTGTGACCACAGAATCTTTCCTACAGAGCAGGCCATGCACTGGCCAGGTCATTCCTTCTCTGCAGCACCAAAAGAGGGTTAACAAGCCTGGAGGCCTGTGACAGTATGTGACTGGCAGTCAGGCAGTGCTGTACCCAGGTCAGTGAGGAGAACTGTTTTGATGTTGATGTGCTGGCCACATGGAAAGAGACCAAGACTGGCTGGAGGATTAGGCTCTAACTCTACACCCTGTAAAAAATGGTGAGTGGCAGCAAGCCCACAGGAGCCTGTGTCTTTGAAGGGCATAGGATGGCCAGAGCCTGATCCCCTTCTGGTGCTCCTGCTGCAGCCTCGCTCACACAGACCTTTCTGTCATGATCCTGCTAGTGAAGAGGTGACAGGCCCTGGCTGCTTGCTGCTGTCCCCTCTGCTGTTCCGGTACAACCTCTTTGTGTAACTGAGTGCTGAGCTGGAGCACAAAACTGACCTGCCCCCAAACGTGGATTATCCTTCAGCCAGGTCAGTCCATGCTTTCAGTTTGCCATGCAACATCACAGAGGTGATGTGAGGCAGGACCCAGGATGGGCTTGGCGTAGAACACCGTAATCCATATGTCATCTTAAACACAAGTCCAACTCATGGACACTAGAAGCATATGAAAGAAGATAGGAGTCCCTTCTGCATGCTTCTTTCCTCCTTGGAAGTGGTTTGGCAGTGGAATGTGAGGTTACAGCGTGAGCCTGGTGTGCTACCACCTAACCTCTTCTCATGTGAGGTTGTGAGGCTTCTTGCCTTGCATAGGTTTCTCTGCAGCCTCCGTGCAAGTAGCAAGCTGAACAGCAGCTGTAGACCCAGGCTGAGTTTCACATCTGTGGTTCCAGGATTTAAGGGTCATGTGGCTGGAGGGTGGTTGCTCCTCTTGAAGCCTGGATGAGACTGCCATGGGCCTGCTTTTGTTCACAGCAAGTATAAAGATAGTAAATAACAATAGCTCTAATCTTCATGCAAATTATGTGAGCACACCCTCCCTCCTAAAACAGGCATATGAAATGTAACAGAGTTACGTACAAGCTCTGATCCCACACATGTTCTCTCTGTGTGATTTTTCTTCCTACACAGTCACCCAGCGTGCATCACACATCTCTGAGCTTCTCAAGCTTTTCCTGAAGAGCCCAGCAACAGCAATGGTGGCACAGAGCCATTTCCCACTGAGTGAAATCTTGTAAGGGAGCAGCTCTGTTGCTTCTATAAATGCAGTAGTGTTTGTAAAACTGTGTGTGTAGCAGGGACAGAGAAGTCTTGCATCCTTGATCAGCAAGTTGGACCGGTTTCTCCTGCTCTTGAGAGCCTTATCCCGTAGTTGTTTGCTCCAGCACAGTGTACAAAGCAGCAAAGGCTTCTTTTTAGGCCCGTCAGTGTGACTGAGGTTTGGGGCTTGCCAATAAATAGCGCTCAATAAATAAGTGCTGGAACACAGAGACTATTGAGACTGAGGTGCCTTGCACAGAGGTGCTTGTTGCCCGCTGAGTGCGGCCCCAAAGCTGAACAGCAGAACAGTTCTTGCGCTGTACGTTTATACCTCTTTTCCCTGTGCTGTGTACATAAGGCTAAACTAATTTCGATAGGAGTGCCCCTGTTTGTTTTCAATCACATGCAGTTCCCACTGTATTGTTGACACTAAAGAAATAATAGTGATAAGGCTCTGCTCAATAAGCACACTGCTGTCCAGCAAACAGCCCTGTGACTGGGTACCCAGCAGCACTTTGTTCTGTACGTAACACAATCCGATCAGTGAGCAATGAAATTCCACGAATGAACTATTGTAAATAATGTTTTCGTGAACGTCCCTGAATCTAACCTCACAATCCAAGAAATGGGAAATCATTGTAGAGAAATTTAGAATTGAGGAATACTCTGCAGAGATCAGTCTGGGACTGACAGTTTAAGCCTTTTGCGGTCTTTGGTAAATATCTGCCAATTTTGCTCTCCATAGCTTCTTGTTACTGGTGAAATTACACTGTCAGATCCCCTGTTTCCATGGTCCTCCTGCTAGTGATTAGAGCCTATTTTGCAGCAGCTCAGGGGACCCCATTCTGGCTGAGATGCTGTGCTAGCTGCCAGGTGAATGTGAATTTCGGTTATCTTCACCCATTAAAGCTGGTAGGTTCAGTAAGTGCAGCAGCACTAGCAGGGGATCTTGGGCAGAACAGGAGTAGAACTACCTGACTGCAGCATTTAGAAACTTTAATTAATAAAAACAGAAGTAAGGATAGGTGTGCAAGATGTTTTCTTGGCTTTTGCTGCAGGCCACAACTTAGCTATTATCCCACACAGCCCCTGGGACCCTTGCTGTGGTGCAGTGAGGATTGGGAAAGGGTTGTTCTGGGGGAGGGTAGAGCTGCAGGCCAGTGAACGGGAGCAGTATTCACCACTGTCTGTCAGACAGGTGTGCTGGGATCACCAGGTGAGAGCTGGGAGATGTGGGAATGGTGGCACATGTAATAGGCAAATCCATTCTGGAACAGACCACAAGGGAACGGTTAATGCACCGTTACCACTTGGAAGGACATAACCTTCTCTGGTCTACTATACACAGCTGGTCAACAGCCTTCAGGGAGAACGAACTTAGCTGGGAACGGGTCAGGGTTACTAGGGATGGTGTGAGAGTAGAGAGCCAGTCTAGCAAGGGCATGTTTGTGTTTTTAAATGCACCAGGAGGATCAATTCCATTGGTATTTATTGGGCAATGGTAGAATATTTCAATTTGCGTAGAAGGCTGTGTTTGGTACAATACATGCTTACGATATGACCATGAATCAATATAGGCTGGAAGTTATTGGAAGACTTTCATACATCAGGGCAGGGAAGCTATGGAGCAGGGGTAGGGCAAACAGCCCAAAAAATTTTGAGAGAGAGCTTGATAAGTTTTATCAACAGAATGGCATGACGTGGGTGCTTTTGATAGCAATGTCAGAGCTCCCTGGATGTGAAGACTCCTTCTTAGCCCTGTGTTTGTTCTTGGTGGTAAGAGGAAGGTTGGGGAGTGGAAAGGAGCCCCAACTCCAACTGAGTACTTATACAGTGAAAAGTAACCATGGTGTATGGCAGGACATGTAGTGAGGAACAATTCTGTTATCTTGTTCCAGCTCTTCTCTTTGTTCCTCCTGTGGTTTATGGCTGCATAGTCCTGTGTTTCAACAAATTCACAAAGTACAGACTAGTCCTGCAAATGTTTGCCACTGTGACTCCTGCAGTAATCACTTCAAAGGGTCAATTCCTCAGTGACCTGTTAAGTCCTGGACGTGTAAGGGTTTCAGTGCAGAAGGTCAGACTGCATGCACAAAGGACATTAATTTTTAAATTCTAGTAGCTTTAAGGGTTGGTTGCAAGTTTGCCATCTTCAGATATAGCTAAGGTTGAGGGAAACCAAATACCTGCATTAAAATACAGCAGCTGTTAACCAGGGCATGAATTTGCAGATCAATACCATGCACTCTCCAAACCAGTAAGTTGGAGTTGTGACAGGGATTTAGAAATCCAAGATGCTTGTTTTCCTTCCATTTTTTATTTCCAATTTGAGGGAAAGTCCAGCCCCCTCCAAATTGCAGAAGCCATGGTGAAGTCACTGAGTGAAGACAAACCTGGGACCAACAGGAGGCATAGAAGAGGGTCAGACAGATCCAGCCATACAAAGCCCCAGGACAGCTTTTGACCTGAAAGGAGACATTCATGGAAGCAATGCTTGTGTGACCCATCACTCCCTGATGTTCCAGCCAAGCCCTCCTGGCCTCACTTCTGGTATACCAAGAGTGTATTTCATTTTGATGGGTTTTTCTCTGCAACTTTTTTTCTACAAAATTTCCCAGTTTGTTGTCAATGGGTTGGGTTACCTTGAGGAGCAAGGAAGGCTTCTTCCCTGCAATGCTCTTCTTTGTTCCACTGCTTAACCATGTGTTTGTTGGCAGGTCTGTGGGGCCTGGTGAACAACGCTGGTGTCTCGACCTTTGGAGAGGTGGAATTTGCAAGTTTGGACAACTACAAGAAGGTGGCAGAGATCAACCTGTGGGGCACCGTGAGGGTGACGAAGGCTTTCCTGCCCCTCATTCGCAGAGCTAAAGGTACATGCTGGGCAGTGTGGCAAGACTCAGAGAGAGCTTTTGCAGCACAGCAAAGAGATGTAGCTAAAAATCACGACTCAGACTGTGCTTTGAGAAATGCCTGTGTGGTTCAAGGAGGATTTCTGAGGCATGCAGGCAAACCAGGCAGCAGGGTTCAACATGCTGTATAAGCATTTGGTAGGACAGGCCACTCTTGCAGCAGTCCAGGCACCTACACAGCAGGCGCTATCTTAAACATCCCAGGATATAAGACCTTTGTGCAGTGCTGGCAGGTATGACACAGGACTCCTCACCATCTTTAGAAAAAGTGACTGGAGGCCAGGCAAGATAATCCTGGCCTCCAGAGTCCACCAAGTGCTTATGTTTGGATGAGTGAATCTTCTCCCTTCATGTTATTCGGTTCACAGGCGATTGTAGAGTAGTCGTGGTGGAATAAATGAGAGTCAGTAACAGCCATTTTAGACACCTTACAATACAACACAGTTATCAAAAGTCTTTGTTTTATATTAAAAAAAAAAATGTATGAGCATAATTCTGAAAAGCTTCTTTATTTAGCATGTGTGGGAGAATGCTGGCACAGCTGTTTTTTTCTGTGAGGACAGAAAGGGATTATGTAGAGAAGATTGCTCAGATTTCCAGAGTATCCCCTAAACAAACACCATCTCACTACAAAAGGTAGCTTACCCATCAGGTCAGCAAGTGGTTGTCACAGTCCCTCCAAGCTGCACTTAGGTCTGGAAGGAAAGAGCAGCGTTGCCCGCTTGTTTTCTCAGCTAAAATTCCAAGCTGCAGAAGGGTGTTGTGCTCCACGGCTGTGAAAATCTTCTCTGTAAAAATAGCTGGTGAGATTTCAAGGGCCTGTTTGTAAATGCATCTGGAACCATAACTGCACACATCTTGTCTTGGGGAAGGACAGAGCCACTCACAGAGGAGTGACTGCTGCTGTCACTGCCCCTGGGCAGTACATAATCTAACACAAGCTGCCAGAGCTCTGCAGTTGGGCTGGCATGGGCTGGAGTTAGGGCAGTTGTTCTTTGCTGCCTCATAGACAACAGCGAGTCAAGTCTCATCTCTTGTTTGTCCCAGGCATGTAGCGCTCTAGGCACTCCTGGCCAGCCAGTTGGGTGAGCAGGCTCTGCTGCTCATGCTGCAGGTCCAGAGAAACCTCTACCGGTTCTCTGCCATCCAGCTCGGGTCTAGAAGCACACAGCTGTGTTAGGCAAAGTGGCTGCAGGTGAGCTGTCGTGCTTACAGAAAGAACCAGAACGCTTGGATGGCATCACGCTGTGTTGTGTGCTTCCCAGCTCATAACACTGCTAGCTGGAAGCTTGAATGCTTCTCTGGCAAGGTGCAGGAGCAGGGAACACTGATGTAAGAGCACACAGCTAGTAGCCTCGGAAGATCCAGGCACTTCCCTACTTTGAAATTGGGAGGGAAATGGCTTGCGTGCTTTGTAAATCCTTTTTAATACAGAGGCAGGCATGTGTACCATTCATGGAGGAGGTCAGAGCAGGGGCTAGGCTGGCTCGAGTCAGGAGAGAAAGGCTTCATGACAGGGGATTTGGACGCCTCTTCAAGATTCAGATTTTACAAATCAGCATCGTCCAGCAAAGCACCTTTTTACCGGGATGTTCTGGCTGCTTTTTCTGCAGCCCATCATCTCTCTCTGCTCTTTTCTCTCTAGGCCGTGTGGTGAATATTACAAGCATGTTGGGACGGATGGTGAGTCCGTCTCGCTCCTGCTATTGCATTTCCAAGTTTGGGGTGGCAGCCTTCTCCGACTGCCTCCGGCAGGAGATGTACCGCTGGGGCGTCAGGGTCATCCTCATTGAGCCCAGTAACTTTGTGGCAGCAACAGGCATCCTGACAGCAGCCGGCATCGACAAACAGGCTGAGGCACTGTGGAGTGGAGCCAGCGACACTGTGCGGGAGGACTATGGGAGGGAGTATTTCACTCGCCACGTGGCCCTGATGAAGTCCTTCATTAACAGTGGCCTGAAGGACATGTCTCTGGTCTTGAATGACATCACCGATGCGCTGACCTCCCCGTGCCCAAACAACCGTTACAATCCCATGGAGACCTACTGGTGGGTGAGGCTGCAAGTCATGACTCACCTGCCCACTGCCATTGCCGACTGGCTTTACGTCGCCGGAGCCTCCCTGTAAATGGCCGCCCTTCAGGCACCCTTCCAGCGCTCGTACGTACGCACAGGTTAGAGCTGACTGTCAGGGCTGTTCTGCACCCGTTGCTGATGCATCTCCCCAGTAGGTGCATGTGCTTTCACTTTGGGTTGTGCCTTCAAGTCTTGTGTTGTGGGATGCTGAGAACAGCATGGCTTTTTGGGTTTCTTTTTTTGTTTGTTTGTTTGTTTTTCAATAATTCTTGCTCTTTGTATTCCCTGCTGTCCTGATTTAAGTTGAAAGGTGTCCTCCTTTTACCTATGGATGAAGGAGGCACAGGAAGGTTAACATAATGGGTCAAATATGTGGCTAGTGTAATTAGGTCAGCAGAGCTTGCCCAGTGATAAATTTGGCTCATTAATGGGCTCTTGCTCTTCCTTACTAGGGCGGGCTGCTAATAGCAGAGCAAAGCTGTTGCTATGAGATGTCTCAAAGGGAGAAACTAAAATGGGAAACAAAAGCAGGGGTTTCCATTTGATTGAAAATGGGTCAGTCACAGCCTTCCATTGTTTTCATGATACTGCTAGGAAGCTCTGCTGTGCTGTGACTGTCTGATCTTTCCAGGAAAATAGCAACGCTGCCTCTAAACAGCCTCATTATCTAGCTTGGGGGGTCAGATTCCTGCAAAGAAGGGTTCTTCCCTCCCAGCACTGTGGCCAGGAGGTGCCAAAGCTAGCAACTGTGGACAGGCTGGGCAGGGAAAAGCCCTACTAATAATGCGTGAGGTCTGAGCCATCCCTCAGGCAGTCCCTCTCTCCACCCACTGCTGATGAGCTTTGTGGGACAGGGTTGAATCTGATGTGACAAACAAATTTGACTCCTCTGACTGCTAGTTTATCAGTGCCTGAACAACTCAACTGTTGTACAAACACTGCCCAGCTGTCCCCCCTGCTTCCCTCATGTCACTGCCCTGTGCTAGGCTCCCTCTTGCTGGTGCAGGAGCTGCTCTTACTTTCCCAAATCAGTTTTTTTGTTTCATCCTCTCTGCATCTGAACAGTGATGGGGCACTGTGCAGCTAGTGTGGCCCAACTATTAGCTCTGGAAGGGTGCTTTAAGTGACACATTTATATTTTTTTTAGTGTTGCACAATGAAATTCCTATGTCACACATGATTGTCTCCTCAGAGAAAGTCCTGATAATGGATATGAGCTACTTTTGCACAGTGTCCCCAAAGGTCTCTTCTGTTGGCCATATACTGGGATTTCAAGCATTTTTCCAAGAGCTGGGGCTGCCTGGATGCCTGCCCCATTCCCTCTGTCCCAGTGGTGGTCACTAGCGGCGCAGACAGCTGGCTGTGGGCGCTGCTGGCCAGGCTGAGACCCTGCCCTCTTACTCTAGGGACCAGCTTTCCCTTCCACTGCTGAACTTCCTTGTATTTTGTCCTATGTAAGATTAAGTGGCTATGAAAAGACCTTATCATTTGCTGTTTCTTCATCTGTCTGTGCTAGCTCTGGCTGGGAAACTATGCCATAAACTTTTTATATGCCATTGTCTGAAAATGCTTGGAGTCTGCATGCAGCCATGAATACTGTGATGCCTGAGGACGAAAGCAGGCTTCCCTTGGAGATGCTGTGGAGGTAGCTTGTATTACAAGTAACAACTACTGTAAATGCTGGCTGTCCAGTTCTTTTCTATTCCAGATCACCGGCACGTGGAGATTGCCTGGGATCCAGGACCCAGAACAATCCCACTGAACTGCAGCTTAAGCAGTGTTGTAATCACTTCTTCCCCCCCTGCACTGTGAAATGTGAGTAATGTTATGAAGCACTGATTTGCACAGAGAGAAGAATAAACTGTGAGAATCATAAAGCACATGCCTGTGTCTCCAGTGCTCATTTCTACACTGGTGTTCCCACCTGCTTGGAATCTGAGGTCAGGATTTAATTGGGCTCAGTAATTAAGGAGGTGACAGTGAGTCAGCAGGTAGTGGTACTGTGGAGGTTCAGTGAGAACTGCATGGAGCAGAATGGGCACCATGACCCATTTCATCAGCAGAAGGCAAATAGAGAGGCCTCTCTGCAAACACACGTGCCATCAGTGTTTCTATTTTATGTGGATTCCCCTAAATGACAACGTTAAGAGAGTGGTGCTGAGCATTATTCATTGCCTCAGCACTCTGCATTTAACTAACCCAAATGCTACAGCTGCCTGATAATAAGGATTAGCTCTTCTTACAGACAAGGACAGAGACTTGCAAGCCAGGAAGCATCTGAGGCCATGCTAGGACCTCATGGCCGAGTCAGGGTTAGGATTTCACAGCTTATGAGCCCCAGTCCCTTCCTCTGCCCTGTGAGAAGTGCTCAGGTGAGCTGCCTGTGCCTGATCTGGTTTCTGCCTGGGTGGGGGAGCTCTGGGTGGATGTCTGGGGGTGAGAGGAGCAGAGTGCTGGCATGGGAAGAGCAAGTATCAAGTGTTTCAATACAGTGCAGATGATCATGTGAACGCTGAGCCAGTGGAGCAAAGCCAAGATGACCGAGCAGGTCCCTTCCCATCTTGAGCTTCCAACACAGCTGTTCAGTGTCCAGTGAAAACTTGGTTCTGAAATCCATTCCCTGAGGCAGACAGACCCTTGTTTTGCACTGTAGTGTTGCATTAATGCAGGCATTGAGATTGTTGTCTTGATCGTAACAGAGAGAAGAAATCTCAATTCCATTTGACAGTGACCTTCAAAGCCGGAGGACAGAGCAGACAGAAGGAAGGTCAGTGAAATCCCCTGGAAGTCCATGCTCATTGCTGCTGTGGTATCCTATGAGGAGTCAGGCTGCCAAAGATGCCTGTGGCTTTTTTTTTTTTTTTTTTTTCCAAGGGCCAGCTGCTGAGGCTGTGGCAGTGTCCTACCTTTTTCTGCATGTTTCTCACAATGCGTTGGGAGGCAGCGGTGGTACAGCTCCTTGGTGCACCCCTTATAGCCTTTGTAAAGTGTCTGTTTTCAGATCAGCATGGTTCTCTGTAATGACACTGGGAACCAAGAGGTGATCTTCTGCATGTCATGTTTGCTCTGGTTCAGCTTAACACAGCAAGGGGCCTCCTGGGGTCTCCCAAAGAAGCACTGTGAGTCTGGATGTTCCAGATTACTTCAGGTTCTTTCTGTCTTGACCAAAAAACAAGTCTCAAACCAGTGGCAAGTCCCAGTGTGTGTCCCAGACCTCATGGCACCTGTGGTTCCTGGTTTAGCCCCAACATGAAACCTCCACTAGCAGCAAAGGGAGAATTTAGAAGACAAAAAGTTTATTGCAGGTGAAGTGAATAAAGATCATCTCTAAAAGCCAAGAGAAACCACAAGTCCCTTCTGAGTGGCAAGAGCTGCAGAGGAAGTGGTTCATTCCTCACCTCTGCCTGAAGCAGCAAGTTGCTATGAAGATCCCTCACTGATAGTCCCGTATGTGTTTGTCTCCACAATGAGCTACACCAAGGACTGGAATGTATGCTTCTTTCTCTGGGCTTCAAAAGCCTTTACCACTGTCATGAGTGGCTGGTGTCCTAGGTTTGCTGTTCTGAGGTGTCTGAAGATCTCAGTTGCAGAGCTGGCCAGGAGGTGTGCTGTACCAAATGCAAGCTGTGTAGTGTTACTTGGAGCTATGGTTGACACTGCTGGGCTGATGGGCAAGACCCAGAATTTGGAGGAATGTTTGTTGGCAGTGGGATGTGATTTCTCTTAGATAATGTTGACCATCAGGATACTTCCATGTGCTGCTTTCCTCCCAAGGGGTGGTCCTCTAGGTGCTGTGCAAAAAGCAGCAGCTGCACTGGCAAAAAAAAAAAAAAAACAACACACAAGGGCTGCCAGAGTGTTAGCAAAGCACCTGTGCTCCTCTGCCCAGCTGGCCCGAGGTAACGGGCACTCCTGTTTCTGGCCAGGTGATGCCTGTGACTGAATTGTGGTGTGTTGGCACCATCTGCTATATAACCTGTGTGTATGTCTGATTTGACACCTGGGATGGAGTCGATAGGTGTTCAGGGAAAGTTTAGGATTTGAGAAGCACTTCTTTCATGTCTGGCCTTGAACCTTCAGCTGAGGAACTGCCCACTGCCAGAAATGTTGTGAAAAGGAGGGCAGGGATGGCAATGCTTTCACACACAGCAATGGCCCTGAGAACAGAAGATTATCCAGGGCAGCTCTCATCTGCAGCAGGTTGGGGCCTTACTTCTGCTTCCCTGGTGGTGCTTTCCCAGCTCCAAAAGGTCTCTGTGTGGGGATATGGTCCCTCTTGGGTGGGCTGTGCCTCCTGGGGCTCCTTGTCTTCCTTGAGGGGAAAAAAAAAAAAAAAAAAAAAGAAACATCAGCACTATCAGTTGGAAAAAATTAAGTGTTAAACATGTCAAATGAAGATTAGGAGGCTGTGCTAAAGACCCCTACAACAGCCACAACAGGTGAGAGAAGCCGCTGAGGTCCTGCCTTGCCCAGAGAGAGGCCAGCCCAGGCGCTCGGGGGCAGCCAGGGCAGCGGGTGGGAGCAGGACGCCTTCGCAGGCTTGCTGCTTCTGCAGGGAGCTCTGCTCCTCGGCACCCAGCTCTGCAACAGTGCCACCCAGTGCACCCTGAAATAGGAGTCTTGGTGTTTTAGAAACTTTAAGACCTAGGAAATCCAGGATGGGTTTATCTTTCTTGCTAGGAGACACCCCCAGCCCCGAATGTGATGGTGCTGTGTAAATAGCAATGGCAGCACCTGTCCTTCTGGCTGGGGTTTTGAAACATGAATTTTCAGCTGCTTGTGCAACCACAATGCTGAGAAATGTCTTAGAAACAAAGCAAAACCGATACCAGCAGGTTTCTCAGCCAGCAGCCTGAGCCCTGGGGATTGGAGAGATGCTACAAATAGCACAAGAATTTGCAGGAGAGCCAGCTCCACCTCCGGGGCCTGGCCTGAAGCCAGATACAGTTAATTCATTCTCAGCAGTGCTGGAAGGGCCACAGGGATGCTACCAATACAGCCATATCATCCTCTCCCCTGGCACTCTTTGAGGAAGCGAGCAGACCCGTGTCTTCACCTCAAAACAGTGAAATAATACTTTTGCCCTGACAGAAGCTTATCAGCAGGCACAAAGCAACCGCGTGCGCCGGTCTGCAGCACGCAGCGCCTTCTCTAGCGGTGTCTTGATAGTGAAGCGGCCCCTGGGAGCGCTCGGCGGGACGCGGGGGGAGCCGTGCGTGGGCCTGCCGAGCTGGGCCGTGGCCCGTCTGCTGCTGCGGGTGCGTGGGCAGCCGGGCTGGCCGGCTGCATCGGCGCGCTGCCCGAAGGCAGCTCCAGGCACGGCGCTCAGCTGAGTCGGGGTTCAGGGGCAGGTATGCACATGGGGCAGTGAACCGTGCAGTAATTCGCTTCCCTCAGGGCGATTTAATTTGGTTCCCCGAGGGTGGTTTGCCTCACAGCACTGTCTGCCAACAGAGCACTAATGGAGTGGGTCTCTGCCCACCCCCCTTCCCTGTGGATGTGCAGTATTACTTTCCTCCACCCTCAACAGAGAAGCTGTTTGTGTTTTGGTCCCATAGGTACGGTCAGGGAGACATTTTTCTGGTCTCTTCTGATAAAGCATGTTATCAGGTTATGCCTAATGAAGGAACCCCCACTACCAGTCAGCTTTGAGCCCCAAGGTATCGACATGGAGAGAGTCTGACATTTTCTGGCTTTTTTTGAAAAATATCTGTATTGTTAACAGTGAGGGTTTCTAAAACTCAATAGTACTGCTATGCCATTGCCAGTTTTGCAGTTTCATAGCCCTTGCATCATGAAATCGGCCCCAATACCTTAAGTTTTATGGGTTTGGTTTGAAGAGCACATAGTAGCATGTGGTCTGCCTACCAGTTCCTCACTCTTGCCTTCCCCTGTGCCTGCCTGCTCCTAGCCAGCGTGACACAGGTTGTTCACCCCCTGAGCACGGCCCCTTGTGTGAAAGCTCTTTCTCGTGCAGGACCCGACAGATGATGATGTCAGGAGCAGTGAAGTTTCCCAGTCTTTTCCAGCTCCAGCACACAGCCAGAGCAGCTCTGGTCACCTGAAACTCTAGCAGATCTTCCTTCTCTGTGTTTGCCAAGACATCAATAAAAGTAGAAACAGGTAAAATGAAAGAAAGAATTTCTGCCGTGATTGTAGAGAGTAACCAGGTAAGAGCTAATCTGTTTTAATGGTATAATGGAAAGGCATCTGCCTAGGACTGAGATCCAGCACTTCTGGTCCTGGCACTGCCACCGGCTCACTAAATGTCCTGAACAAATCACTCTGCCTGCACCCAGCTCCCTTACCATCCAGCCACCTTTGCCACTACCCTGCCCAGCCTGGAAAGCAGAAAACCAAGAAGTGTACAATACATTGCAATGCAGTGATGCTTGACTCATTTTGTTGTGATAACTGATGCCAGAACAGGTGTTATCCCCCTTTCCATAGGTCTGAATTACTTTTCGTGGCAGAATAATGCATGTGGCACCTCCAGTCTTCTGTGTGAAAGCTGCTCCAAGTGGCTTATAAAGTCCTCTGAACTTTTATAGCTTCAGGGAGGAGGTTCTGAAGGTTGAGGGCAGACATTAACACTGTTGTGCTGCTTTTAAATGTGCACCAAGGTTAAACATCACCCCACAGGCACCTTGCCCCGGGACCTTGAACTGCAGCTTGGGGGAAAGCTCTATATCATCTTTTACTGTGTAACTCCAGGGCCTTTCTGCCAGAGCCATTGTGCTCCCAAGGGTGCTGGTGGTGCCCGTCACCTTGTGGGGTCAAGTGCTGTAGGAGAAGTCATTTTCCTGGTGGGACTTTAACCAGGATTACTGTGACAATCAGTCAGCAGGCTGCCAGCACCGTGTCCTTGTGTCTCCTTCCT